AAATAACAGTTTCTCTGGCACTGAACACTGTCAGATTTGTTTCCAGGTTATTAAGATCTTCTTTAGAAGACCATGGCTAAGCAACATGGACGAAATGTCCCAGCTGTTCATTAGGCCACTGCTCCACGTAACATCAGGTGGGATTTTCTTGGGGAAGGGAAGGAGTGAGTGTGCCTATGAATGAGAAACTCAGAGTGCAGGTCAGGGCAGGCACAGAGAAGGTGAGCAAAGCAAACAGGAAGCCCACCAGAGACGAGGACACCACTGATGAGAGCAGCAAGCTGAAACACAGCATGCCTCTGGGGCAAGAGTCACAGACCTTTCCCGCAGCGAAAGGGTAGACTGACTGCTACAAGGAGGGGGGGGAAGAAAAAAAAAAAAATCACTGAAAAGGTAAGAAAGCCAGACTTCCCCACTGTCAGGACTCTACACTTAGTGATTTTTTTATAAAGCCTTTTATTTCTGGTCTCTAGAATAAAATATGAGTTGTCTATTTTAAGTAGCTACATTGTTCTAATTAAACCTGGCCTCCCAGTTTAAAAGCTTTTTTCCTCTCTGTAGGAGGTTCGCAGTAAGGCACACCTAAGACATCCTCACCCCCAGTTACTGTTTTCCTTTCTTCTGATCAAAATTTGCTCATAAAGAAATCGAAAGGACAAAAGAACCAGAGAAACAAGGAAGAATGCAACAGAAAACTCCAGATGTAGTTTAATAAGAGACTGGGGTGGGGGTGGTGGAAACCACCAGAGAAGACATGTCATTCCATTCCAAGTCAAGAGAAACAAGGAGAAACGATTTCCTTCGCTTCCAGAAAGCAACATTCTCTCAACTCCATCTGCTGGTCATAGGGATAACTGTGAAACCAAACTGGTGTCTGGAAGCCAAACTTCAAACATTGTACTCCTAACCCCTGAAGAAATACTAGATTTACTGGTATGTCCATGAAGATGGCTTCCATTCATCACCACCCCTGGAACACGCAGCACTGCAGACATCGCAAAGCTTCAGCAAATTTGATGGAAAAGTCTTAACAGGGTTCCCTCCACTGACAGCACACCAAGAGGCTCCTGGCTCCCATACAGGCTGCACGCTGCGGCGAGTGCCAAAGTGCACAGCATGGCTCACTGCCACAGTCCCACAGAGATTTTGCATGATCTCACCGCAGGCAGAGAATTGCCAATCCTGCATTGAACAATTTAAATGACACCGAAACTCAAGAGTGTGTCACCAAAACTTCCCAGGATGTCAGAAGCAACATCTACGTTTCTGAAACAAGTCACTAACTCAAGATTTCAAGCTGCCTAATCTATAAGGAAAATTGACTGTATTCTGTAACAGTCATACAAAGCAATTGCTAATATTCAGATCCACAGATAACAAAACAAAAAAAAAACAAAAACCCAATCCATCCAGCTGGCACTGAAAATTAATACGTTAATGCTGACCTTTTAATCATTTTAGTAACACAAGGTTTGTTATTTCTATCCTAATTAAAGAGATTATACCAATGTGCTTCTCAGGGTCTAGTGTAGTGCTGGAAGATGCCATAAACTAACACTTCTGAGAAACACTTCATTCGGGAGGTGGGGAGCAAGAAAGTGTGTTCTTCTCAGGAGAGGGGTAGCCTGAATTCAGATTAAGAAAGTCCACTGCTGCAGCAGAGGTTTATCCCAGCTGCCAGCAGGAGGGTTATGCCTCACAGTTGGAAAACTCACGATTAGTATTTAGGACAGGGGTGCCACAGATAATGATGCTTAGAATAACACGGGTTAAAAACATACTCATTTTTTGCTTTACTTTGCAGTGTACACAGAAAGTTACAAAGAAAAGCAAAAGCTTGAAAGGAGTATTTAAGAAATTCCTGCTTTTCAGGACCAAGGGGCCTAAAGGCAACAGCTGCATCTTTCCATTTCCTCCTCTTTTATTTAGATATTCTTAGTGGTAACCAAGGTGAAGGGGGCCTACAAGGATGCTGGGGAAGGACTCTTCCTTAGGGACTCCAGTGGTAGGACAAGGGGTAATGGCTTTAAGCTTAAACAGGGGAACTTCAGGTTAGATCTAAGGAAGAAGTTCTTCACAGTGAGGGTGGTGAGGCACTGGAATGGGTTGCCCAAGGAAGTTGTGAATGCTCCAACCCTGGAGGTGTTCAAGGCCAGGCTGGACAGAGCCTTGGACAACATAGTTTAGTGTGTGGTGTCCCTGCTCATGGCAGGGGGGTTGGAACTAGATGATCTTAAGGTCCTTTCCAACCCTAACTATTCTATGATTCTATGATTCTATGCTGGAACCTGGTTTCCTGCCTCAGACATGCCACATATAACCAATGTTTTAATTCACATGGGTTTGTCTCTCATGGAATAGTATTTCCAGGATCCTTTAAGATAAGGGTAGTATAGAGGGAGGGCTGTTTTAGCAAGATATGTGGTTCCAATCTTCCAGTCATTTCCCAAAATCCCCTCGAGGTCTTCTTAAAAAGATGTAGTTGGTATTTCACTTGCTGTAGTAGATGGAGTCTGAACTGATCATCCATGGGTTCATTTTTGACAGATGGTAACATAACGTTATTCTCTTTTCCACTTCACTCCTGCCTCCTTCAGGAAACAGGACAGGCCATATCTCCAGCAGACCATGTACAAGGCCAAACACCTCAAATCAAGCCACCATCTCTAGGGTCCTAAAGCATCACAGGACATAGCAAATGGCGAAGGGATTGCAGCAAGAAAGCATGGTGTAAAAGTTCATACACTGCAACTCTGCTCTGGGGAGCTGCCTCTGCCACAAACAACTTTTCACAAGGGCTATTTGAGTCATATTTTAGTTGCCCAACATGAGACACAGCACTTCCATGAGTTATGGAAGCACACATCTAGCTGATGTAAATGTTATTTTACCCTTAACGTATGAAATGAGGAAGGCTTTAGCAAGCCAGAGCCTACAAACCTCAAGTTCAGAGTCAGCAGATTCTTCCAGTCTTACTCTTTTTGTGCCTCTCAGTCTCATGTTTAAAACTGGGGCAACACATCTTTATCTCAGAGAGGCATTGTGAAAATTAAACAATCTGAAGTATGTGCCTGCTCCAGTGATGACTGCCACAGAAAAGACTGTTTGGAAATGACTGGCTGAGTGAAATATATTACTACATCCAGACAACAAGGCCCACAGCTACACATTGAGCATCAAAATTAGAACAAAATGTTGACTAGATGCTCTTTCAGAGGGCACTGTTCATATTGTACACTGAATAGAGCAAAGTCCCTGTGGAAGGAATAGCATATGGCCATGTATGCACTATTACCAAATAATTACACTGCCTTACCCACTGCTGCCAAGTAAAGGTTAAAATTTAACAAGTCTGACATTTCCTTTTAAATTCTTGGCTTTGCAATAAAAATGTTTAAATGGAAATTTCATTTTTTTAAAGACAAAAATTCCACCCCATCAGGACTGCATCAAACTCTAACCACCACATGACCCATAAGCAGGGTGAGACCTTCTGGCTCAACAGCACAGATGTCTATCAGCTGAGATGGCCATTACTCTCTGTATTGGCTTGAGGGGAAAAAAAAAAAAAAAGATATATTGGACATACGAAGCTTTTGACACCTGAGAAACAAAGAAAGATAGTGCTGATTGTCCTCTCAGAAGACAAGTGATATTTCTGACATTTTAAAGAAACTGCAATTGATAGCACTGGGAAAGTAAGTTTCCCTTGTTGTATCTCTTTACTTCCTTCACAACCACTGGACAAGCCTTGATGGCAAGTGCCTTTTTTATTCCACCTGAGTATCTGCCATTACATCCTATACTAGTAAGCGAGTACATTAAGATTTAAGCTTCCCAAACCCCAGCATTTAAATGAGCACAAAATTAGGCTTCAGAATGATCCAATCCCTGAGATGAACACAGCACACTGGGACGATTTGCAGGTTCTCTGCAGAATCAGGGCAATAATTCATTTGCTTTATACCTGATCTAAACTTAAGAGTATTTTAAAAACAAAATTAGAATAGTCATGCATCAAATTGTCTTTTAGAACTATTCTGCATGAGTGCAAGTGGTATTCTGAACATGGTCTTAACCCTAGTCACTAGCTCCTTTCCATAATCATAAGCAGTAAATGACAGATGATACTAAGCAAAGATTTCACAGTGTAACTACAGGAAAATTAGGAAGTGGTCCTATAAATCAGGAGAAAAGAAGAAATTTATTACACTCCATTCCTTCTCATATATAGCCTTGTCAGTGACAGGCAGATAGCAAACTCACTGATGGAAGGACAAGCATTGCTTGTGCCAAAAAAATAGCTAGTTTTCTAGTGAAATTGAAAAATAAGCAATTTGCATCTTATGGAAGGTTTTACAAGTTTCTATAGTAACTGCTACCATGTACAAGAATATAAAATGCAACAAGCTGGAGTTTCCATAGAAACAACACAAGCAGTTTGATTAATACGCAGACATACTGAGACAAATGGGCATATTTCATTTCACTTTAGGAAGAAAACTCTAGTAAACAGAATACTCCAAACTTGGTCAAAGTATCCTGGTAAGAACTATTCTCTTAAGCTTGTGAGCTGCAAGTCACGCACGATGTAAATTTAGAAGCATGTGGCATGTATACCATATCAGAATCAAAGGATATGAAAGGTACTATGCTGTTTCAGGAACCTGATGCTGTTATCTAACACATTATAATTGATTTAGGAATTTAAACTTACAAGCAGCACTTACAGAGAAGACATTTTCCTTTGGTTTGGAACTAAATGTACCAGACAAAATGAAAGGAAGTAATGCAATTTTTACACTAAAGCACTGTGACTTCTTAGAAAGTTAAGTTACTGCACACACTACAGAGTGATAGTGAAGAACCATGGGGCAACTCTGACGTTTAAATGACTGTGGAGTAGTGGTCCAGTAATAGTGCAGAATCTGTATCATCCAAGAATTTAGAATGCACAATTGAGACACGACGAATAAGGGAAACAGGCAAGTACGACTCACCATGTTTGGCACACTGGTGACAGGAGTACTCTTGATGTCAGCCGGAAAGGGAGACAAACTATTCGCCATGCCTGGCTTGCTTGGTAACTGAGGATTCACTCCTGTAGCTCCCATCTGCTGCCCTCCAGTTTGACTGAAAGGCTGTCCAAAGGGACTAGTGTTACCTGTCATTCCCATCTGGAAAAGAATGAATGAAATTATTATCACCAATTTGATTCCAAAGGGACATTGAGAAAACATATGTCAAGTATTGATCTTTGCATTCACAGTGACCAAATTCCAGTATAAGTTGCTCAATATTATCGATTTTACAACTTTAAATAAAAGTATTACAAAATTTTTTTACAAATTTACAGTTTTGTGTGTCTCAAGCCTTGCAACTTAACTTACAAAATCATTATGAAAATGCAAAGGGGAGAACAAGAATTATCCTTCCTAATCTGCATTGACAGAAATTACTTTTTTCAGCGCTGCAAAAACGTTTGAAAACCAAAGAAAACTCAAATCCTGTAACACTTCATGCACTCTGTGCACGAAGCATGACTTTGTACATAGATTAGAAGGGAGGGGAATATGCAGAGGCATCTAGCGAATGTGTATCTATTTATGATTTGGTACTTGAGGAAAAATATCTGAGCAAAAGGACATCTATCTAAGGCTGACATCCTTGACAAATTAGACCCCCAAAACTCCTTAAGAAGAGCAAGCAGGAACATGACTCCTTGTGAATGAGTAGAGAGAACACTGTCCATCTGAAGAGGCATTTTGCCTGAAGAACAGTCTCCCAAGAGAAGTGGTGAAATCTCTATTACTTGAGCCAGTTTATATTACACGGGACAAAAGGTCCTGAAAAGACATTTTAACAGGAATTTACTTCTTTCAAAGAGGACAACTAAGACTAGGACTCTCCTTCCCCCCTCCAAATAAAAAGGAAATAAAAGTTAATAGATGTTTGTGCTCCCCCCTGCCCCACAATGGGAGGATTTCTAGATGACCTTATCACCCGTCAGAATGTCTTCAGTATAAATCCAACCACTGTGCAAGTCTTTACTTGAAATATTAAATCCTATTTTCCCCTTCCTTTGACCTCTTCAGCCCTTCCATACACAACACAGTGGTTTTCCATGGTCCTGGTCTTTTCACTCTCCTTTCCAGCAGGGATTCAGGAGCACTATTCCCGTGGCTGGAAGAGGAACTGTGCACACCAGTTTGCCAGTGTAACAGCCTCATCATAAGGAATTGCTCAGTGGTTGCTTTTTCACGCTTACAGGAATAGGGCTGTATGACCAGTTGATGAAGCACTGGTTAAGAGCAGTGAATTACGTCGGGGCAGAGTCCAATAAACACAATTTTACTGTGCCTTGTCCTCTTTGCCAGTGTACTTTGTACATTTGGGTTTCAGACAGCTGGCCCAGCCACATTTGAAGTAGCTTTACGTTAGGAAATACTCCCTTAACCTGCATCCTGCCAAGCGGCTGTTGCCAGATTCAGGCCTTTTTTCCACTGTGCAAACTGTTATATCTTTACAGAAGAACCTGACCCACTACATACACATTAAAGAAACCAGCAGCTGTTCCTTGTCAATGTAAGAGGTTATCATATGTGCTGTGTTCCATTGTAAAGCTGAATAATCCAAACAGCATGTAAGTCCAAAAAATGCATTGCTTAACAGCATCAAAAGCTTAGTAGGAAAGACTGCCTTTTTAGAAAAGTGGCATGGCTACTATCATGTTGCACAAATATTAACAACTATATTTTCTGTATTTCTGTAGAACTCTATGTTAGGGGTTTTTTATTATTTTGGCAACTTTTCTCTGAGGAATTAATAGTGAAATATTTAATAAGCTTACCCACTCATCTCAACCGACTATTTCAGACAAAGTATGAGAAAGGATCATAAGATATCTACAGCTACCCATTAATACTATGATGGTGTATCAGATTAACAGTGAAGAAAATTTCTGAAACTAAAAGTGAGATTCTGAGAAAGTAGCTTATGACTACTTAAACCTTTCTGAGGCTAGAAATAGGAACATTAGCTGTTTGGCTCTTACTCAGTTTCCGCTTGTGCCTAAATCCCCAACTACAAATTTCATTCATTTGTAAACATAATCTAGGAGTGCAGCACAGGCTGGGATTGGCCCAGCTGCGGAGCAGGTCTGTGGAAAAGGACCTGGAGTTCCTGGTGGACAACAAACTCTATGAGTGAACAGCGTACAACTGCGGCAAAGGGTTATATCAACACGGGCATCTCCAGCAGATACAAAGGTGAAATTATTGCACTCAACGCTTGTCAGGCCACACCTGGAATAGTGTGTTTGGTTTTGGTCCTTGCTATACAAGAAAGATTTGGACAGGTTGGAGAGGGTCCAGAGAATGGCCAAGGAGATGAAGCCATGTGAGAGAGATGGGCTTGTTCAGCCTAGAGAAAAAAAGTCTCGGGAGACCTGATCACTGGGGGAGGAGATGGAAAGACCCAGCCACCAAGCAACAAAGTTGCCCAACATGGACTGGTTCAGTCTGTGCAGTGCAACATTCTAAGCCTCTGGCTGATACTTGAAATACAGCTGAATTTTCAAGAAGTGAGAGATTTTCTTTAGGCAGTGAGGATGTTAAGTAAATTTTACACCAAATTTAAGTTCTCATTCCAAAAGAAACAGAGAAGTTTTCTTCATCTCATTATCAGGAAAGATTAACATTTTTATTACAGGAAAAAATATTGTTAAATAGCTTTTTTTTTTTTTGAAAAATATTACAGATATTTCTTTCTCAAAAAATAAAGAACAGAGAATTTCATTTTCATTTTTTACAACTCTAAACCACTAGAACATCCCAAAAGCACCAAACTGCACTAATGTTTACTGTATTAAAATATTTCCTTTACAACAGATCTTGTTATTAAACATATCACAACTCAGTACAACAACAAAACAACCCGTCAAACCTTCCAAACTGACTGCCTAATATGATAATTTCTCCTCTTTTAGGTGATCATTAACTAATAGATACCTGATTGAAATTTTAAGAAATGCCTTGCTATTCTTTGAAACCAAGCCAGAAGCAGAGCAGCTTCTATTTAAAACCTTGAGGTTTTTTTAAACCTGTTATCTGACACATGGTGTTTCAATTCTAAAGCTGTTCTTCAATAAGTTAAAGGAACCTAAGGCTGAAGAGTTATACCAGTCTACAACTTTAAAAAAAAGCAGAGAGTTTGATAACATCAGACATGCCCTTTAACATACACATTATTTTTTTGCAAATTACTGCCACTGAAACAAACTGCTAAAGACTTTGTTTGAAGTCCATCTTATAAAAAACCAAAAAAAATAATCTGAAAATGTAGAAAGATCTTTCTTTTGTGGCAGTCCCTGGAGTAAATATGGAGACAAAAGTCAGGAGGAACCATACACACGATGAGTTTATTAAAGCTCAGAGATGTTTGTAGTTTCAAGTTTCTTAAGCTCAGTTTTGCCTCAGAGGAGTTAAACTTACTAACAGAACTGTGATTTCCAGAGACTAGAAGTGCACACCACAACGCAAGAACTGCTCTAATGAACTCTTATCTATTTGTAACAGTTTTCAACCAAGACTGGAAACAAAGAATTTTAGTGGCAGAACAACCTGCTGCCAAACAGCATTAAGATCAACAGTCTTCCAGAGCTGTTACTAGTAACCTAAGGAGCAGCTCAACATATACTCCAGCAACAACCACCTCCAGCAAACAGAGCCAGCAGCAAAGTAAACCACTGCCTGCACCTCACCAGTGGGAAGGCAGCAAATAGGAGGTGGAAGAAAGGCAAGAATGGGGCACAGCCCCTGCATATCAACAGACAAAGATATCCTACTGCATAAGGCATTAACTGCTATCTCCTGATTAATCTGAACATCGAGATCAGGTGACCTTCCATGGAACTCCATTTAAACCACTGCTAATTGAAATTTCAAAAAACAACTGGCAAATGTAATCAGATGGTCGAGCCTGTACCTAGTAAAGATTTTGCACTGCTTATTCATTCCGCAAACTGAAAGCAGCAGCTCTGAACGAAGCCAGTCAGAAGGCTCGAACGCTTCTGCCTCTTCCCCCAGTTCTTTTCCGATGTGAAATGAGGGGGCAGGTGGGGGAAGGCAGATACTCAGAAGACCTTTGTTTTTATATTTAAGTCACCAAAGACAACAAACCAGTATGAACATGGGAGTCAGCAACCTGTTAAGAATGGTCTTTTCATGCAGCCAACACAAAGATTTGTATGTTGCTTAAAGTTTGTTAAATTTACTTTCCTGGAAGGAACAACATCAAAAAGCTATCCAGTGTGAGTTGTTTCTTTTTCTACCTGCAAATGGGAATGGATGTGTATATCACAAGACTGCTCAAGATTCAACCTATCAGCGTGGTAGCTGGTGCACTTCCATCACAACAGAAGCAGAAAGTTCTCTGAAAACCTGGGTTATGTTGCACTTCACTCCCATTTTGTACTAAGCTTAAGGATGTTCCTTCCCCTGTTGCCTTCTCTTTCTCTCCATCAGTTCATTCAACTATGAGTTGATCTTGTTTCTCAAGCACCTTTTTCTGCAGGCCATGTTCTCTGCTCTCTATCCCAGGTGGCTCCTTTCATCCCTCCTCATCCTCTGGCAACTCATGTTTTATCATCTTGTTTCTGTGTCACAATTTTGTGCAACTCTTGTTTCTTGACTGGTTCTCTGTACTCACAACTGCAATGACTTCTGATAAAGAAGACTTTTTCACAAGCAAGGTGTTTTCTATGTAGCTGTTGATCAGTTGTGATGGGGGAGATGTACAGGTGCCATAAACCACCCTAACACAGAACTGCAAGTCAAGGCTACAAATGCCTGAAGAAGCATGATTAATGGAGGAGACCAGCTTAAAGACATTAGTTCTACTCTAAAACAGTTCTCAGAAACAGGATAATACTACTCTCCTTTAATGGGAAAAACATTTAATTTAATAATTCTGCTATCCCAGAAAGACAAGCAGATTCTGTTCCCTTTTATATCACTATGGCAACTCTCTAAGATACTGGAATCTATTCTTGAGAGTGGATAGGAAATAGGGTATTTCACTCTACTCTCACCGCCAAGGAACATAAAAACTTCCAAGCTGAAAAAAGAAAACCAAACCTTTGTTTAGCTGACTTGGACTACACAAGTTTTGAGCAGCA